ACGACACAATACACCATTACCATCACACCCACATACATACATTTACATACCGACACAGAAATTCAGCTGCTATTCCGGGAGACGGCTAAACAGCGATGTCGATCTCGCCGCACGAACGCCACGCGCGGGCGATGGGCCGCCGGCGTCTTATCACACTCGTTTTTAAACCGTCGAATGAAGCACCGACTTCGTGTTACAGGTTACAGATCCTTGTGTGAAAGCACATGTTGGGGTCGTACTTTTGCTTCTAGGGGACGGGGGTCGTATTTGGCTGCGTTTAAGAGAAATCTATTTCTACGCATATGTTTGATTTCTTTCTTGTTGGAAAAAGGGGGTCGTATTAAATTCGTCATTAATCTCTTCTTTTGTTATATGCCACTCCCTGTACATCCCGCCGGATATACGTTTGCTAGTTATTATATAACCCGCCCATCGACGACTTTTGGCTGATACTAATATACTCATCGCCTCGTGAGTCGGCGAAGCACGAAATAAGGAGCCGGTTGAGCTGAGCGGGCGTTCCGCTACCAACGCCCAAAAAAAGGGTAGGGGGGGGGGATCGATAGTGGAACCCCATTCGGGCCCCCCCGGTCGTACTCACACCGACATTTCGCTATCCCTATGCCTGTACCCTGTTTCGTAGTAGACCCCATCATCGTAGACACTCATTGCTGTTTTCGCACGTTCCTCAATTGCATGTTGTCGCCCACTCTATGTACTGCTAAAACCACCGTCCTTGGCATGCGGATGCTCGCACGGCGCAAGACTCCCCAGCAGCGCGGCAAACTACATCCTCTCTGTCGCACTACCCTTGTACTCAGAAATAAAGTGATAGTGAACTAAGCAGAAGCGGGGGGGGATGGAGTGCAAATCAGAACATCTCAGGTCACGCGAGCCCCGTCACACGAGGTGAAATACGCGTGCCTTGCTCTTCGCTTGCAGCAGAAGTGATCGTTCCATATTTTGATAGCCCGTTCCTTTTCTTTCTCTTCTCTTGAGTTTTTCATGATTTTGGCATTTGCTTTGTCACTTTGTTAGCATCCAGGCGCTATTATTAAAATTAATGTGCGCCAGCCAAACGGCTAAAGATATGTAAATATGCAACGAAAAAATTAGTTTGAACTAATCTTGGCCAGTATCGATCTGTAATTGCAGTCATCTTCTTTTGCAGAAAACATGCGCGATGATTACTTCGAATTTTGTTGTCCATATAAGCGGCACAAAATTTCTAACCCTTAAATCGCTTTTATGAAATGATACAGGAATTGTCCATGTTGCTAAGCAGATCCTAGCCCAGCGAAGAACTTATCGGGCAAGTGGTCACTCTCCCTCCATGCCGCGCAGTAGCTGACATGGTGGGGCCCGTGGTAGCACCACCCTTACAGAGCACGCCGTCGTTGCTGAAATACAGACGCGCCCATTCGCCATTTAGACCGCCAAGCGGAGGAGGTGGGGAGCGGCGTACGTGCCGTGGCTCGCTTCAGAGGTGAAATAGCCAGCAATCTGACAACAGTTACACCCTCTCTTTCCAAAATCTCTGCTGAGCAGTCGGACGCATCACAGAGGGAATGCTCGGCACCGAATGAACTATTCTCCAGTAATTGCAATGGAAAGATCTATTCCAGAAGCTCAATAATTCTTCAAAGAAACTAGGAATCATACTGCGCCGAAGGTGTGATTTTTCGTGTCCGAGAATTTCAACAACAAAACCACAGCAGAGGGTTTCTTGAAGGAGTATGAGAAAAATCTGTCTGGAAAGCACAGGTCTGGAATCTCTGGAAAGCGCAGGTCTTCTGCATCCCCACTCTATTCTCGCTTTCTAAAGAGATAACATGTGAAGAAAGTTGTGGCAGTTCGAAGCAAGAAACCTCGTAGATGACACTAGAAGCTCACAACGAACTCACATGGGAACAGGGCACATCGTTAGCGGGCAATTCGGTAGAGTCCGTACGACATCCCCCACTTATTCAGGGGATTGGAGCGTCCCCCCTCAGCAATCAAATACGACCCCCTGGTCGTGAATCAACAGCAATGTGTCCTGAAGCTCCACTTTCGAAATAATATGGAAATCAAAAGAAGTGTTCGTTCCGGAGTTTCGGGCCCATATCGCGAAACAGCTTGCCCCAGTACAACAATGAAGAGGATTTTAATGCTGCACACCATCTCTGAATGTGCGCGAACAAATAAAATTTGAGCATCTTATTCGTTATCAGCTACTTTTTCATGATTCTGTGTTTCTATGGGAAGGCGGTCGTAGCGAAACCCGCTCCTAGAAGGGGATCCTGTCCAGCAAAAATTCATCACAATGGATGGTGCCCAAACTTCTCTCCTCTCATAGGCCCCACTCACCTTCACTGGCCTCACTCATAGGAGACGAGCGATTAGATCGCTAGCCAAGTCACACAGCTCATGTCGCGCGATTTCGACCGCGTACCGAATGACGCAGCAACTTCAGATTGATTACCGTATCCATGAGTTGTCGTTGAAGCAAAGGTTTGCGTTAGTTCACACCGACCTTGGCTAACATTCCGTGGCGAGCCGCCTGCCCGAATTTCTCAAACAACTTCAACGATCTAAGAGACGCCACAACTCGTTTGCAACGGCTGCGGCGTCGATAGCCATGCCAAACAGTGCGGCGGCCAGGCAGTCGTGCATCACGAATGGATCGCCTTATATTCTTCACCCCCTATGTTGGTGTAGCGGGAGCCATGGTAACTGGAGGCCCGTCCAAAAAAGTATCTGAGGACAATGTTGCCAGAAATGAGGTGAAATGAACAGTAGCGATCTCATCGAGGACTGCACCATTATCCGGTAAGTTCGCCGGCCCAACCACACCCTCCCTTCGCTGTCATATCGTAGAAACTCCCCTTGGAGGAGGATCAGTTGGACATATGTGAAAAATTTTTTCCAGTTTTATCTCACCAGCTTACAGGAAAGATCAACAGGTCAGCCTGGCCATATGCAATGAAGTGCACATCATTGTACTCGTCTTCAGAAGGTGAACTCAAAGTATATTCAGTATTTGCGGAACGATTCTCTGAGCGGAGTTATAGAGGTCTCTTTACTGCTTTTCTCCTTCCAGGCGCGCTGGCGCCAAAGTATTGGCACCTTTAGCGCGACTCACAGCACTTTCGTGCAGAACAGGTATCATATTCGTGTTCAGGGGGTCAGACCCTTAGAGACGGCACCTCAGCAAAATCTGAGGTTCTGACTCATTTTCACAAAAAATTGGGTTAGATGTCATGGCTGACTCAAGGATACTGCGAGTAGCATACTGATGATGACTGGTCTGCAAGCTGAAATAACTCTTCAATCCTGTATTTTCGCAAGGACTAATACCTGGCTCACTTATTCGTGCCGTCTGCATCATTATCCTGATTACCGGTAGGAAATTTCCTACCAGGACCAGTTATCCATGGGTGGGTGGCTCCAACCTCCTGCTAATTGCCCATAGAATGGCCCACATTTTATGCGTCAGGTCGAAAAATCAGATTTGGCTAGAAACTTGTCTCCAGAAGTGATTCGACCCGCTGAACATGAATATTGTGGTATTTCGTTGCAAAAAACCTTGTAACATGTGTTCGAGGGGGGACAAGCACAAGCAGCTTTCAGCCATGATGGGTCTTTACTTTCAAACAGAAACTGATCGCAGATCCCCTTACAGGATGGTGCAGGCGAGCAGAGATGTAGAGGCCTCGTCTGCATATTATTGGACAAATGTAAATATGTGACACCCGCCGGGACTTGATCCCACGACGTAGGAAACCCACTCGCTATCCGTTGCGCTCTACTACCAAGCTAGAGAAGGACTCCATACATTTATGCAAGGACGCTTACCCGTTTTCATAGCATGTAAAACGGCTATGCGGGGAAGAACCCTTTCATAACTCCGCTCAGACAATCGTTCCGCAAATTCTGAAGACAGATTCGAGTCCACCGTCTCAAGAAGCGCACAACGGTGTACATCTCATTGGAAATGGCCAGGCTGACCTGATGACCTTTCCTGGTTAGCTATTAATTTTCTTGGCACACTGGCATACCGATTCAACCCCGCTTTCCCCTCCTTACGAAGGTGTTCTGATGGTGGGCTTGGGCTCTGCCTGAAATAGCTGCGTAGCTAACCAGGGACAGATCTGTCCTTTATTCGAAGGCATTAGGCACGATAAGTTGTTACTGGGTCTGAAATGGTGGCAGAGGCTGCTTGGCTTCTCGGAGCCGGCTCAGAATGCTAGACTCGGCCAAGAATTCCTATGTATGGGGAACGCCGACGCATTCAATACGGCAGTCCCCTAGGCAGCGTTCAGACTTCGCGACGGTACCGCTTCGGTCACGCGTTCAAAGCGATCGATGCGGTGGGAAATATGCGCATCAATCGCGCCCAACGCGCGACCGAGGCGCTACCGTCGCGAAGTCTGAACGCTGCTTTAGCAGGAAACCCCCGCATTATGCGCCACGGGCACTTGTGCACCCATGTCTTCTAGATCACAAAGTGCCCAAGCTCAGAAATAGCTGCGCGCAAACTATTTCCAAGCAAACTAGGTGAGCACTGGTGTATTAGTAACGCTTCAATCACATTTTACCTTGTTCCGAGAAACAAAAAAATCAAGTCCAGCAGGGATCTATCGCACGTTGGACGCAAAGGAGAAGCTGCAGAATTTTGTTCAGAAAGTCGTTTTGCGAATTTCGAGGGCAGCGTAAAAAACCACGTCCCGTGAGCTACGTGTCATCTAAAGCGGCCCTTCATCCTAGCGCCCTTTTCTAATTGGTTTAGTTACATCGACATCCGTATTTGAACTCCACTACTCGTAACGAAGAAGTGTGTCTTCAACCCCGATGTACATGACTAACCTAAAACTCGATTGAATGGGGGTCCGACTAAGGAGAGACCAAGGAATTCCTTTACTTCACCTGCCCTCCCATATTATACATGCAGGCGTGCGTGCTCTGTGATTGCTACACTCATTCGTGATGGTGAAGAGAAAAAGTCCAAAAAATAGACTCTAAACTCTTACCTGTGTCGTATTCTCAACAGTGAAAGCGACATGAAATCGTTGGGGGGAATCATAATCTTCACAGCTCTCGATTTCATACAAAACGCATACGTTTCCCTGAATTCTAACGGTTTTCAAGCTGTCAGTCGAACAATCAAAGCTGATCACCTTGTGGTCCTACGGAAATGCCGACTTTTATCTACCAGTCGGATCGCCCGGCTGACGCCAAGCTCTCATCCTTCTCTTTAGCCTGGCTTCGCCAAGCTAGCGTGGCTTCGCCAGGCGTGAATGGAATAGAACTTTTTCGGTCAATCAATTGGCTCCTCATACGCCACGGTAACGATCGAATTGTAACAGGCCTGCGGATCCTGCACTCCTTAGCACACGCGTATATTTGCAGAAGGGGTGTGGTCCGCGCCATAACGCCCACACAATACATAGATCTGCATAGATACAAAATGGCGTCGGCCAGTGCAGCGCAATGTGAATCGTTCAGTAGAAGAACAAATTCCGCTTCCATTACCTGCATCGAAATGCCTACCGATAACTGCTTTCCTTTCCAATTACCACGCAATCCGCTCGCCGAAGTATAAATAGTTGTAGGCACTAAACTCCCTTATAATTCGTTCTCATTAGTAATTGAAAGTTCATAGTGAAAAAACCTATTGGACGCATAAAGTACACATTAATCAGGTTTTCGGTTCTCCTTGAATTCTCTGACTTTCCTGTTTCAGGCGAATCACACACCATACCCTCCCCCGGTCGTAGACATCGACACTATACCGCCCCTAATTTTTGCAAAATCGACGGAGCGACGGTTTGCGACAGATTAATCCGTCGCAAACCGTCGCTTTGCCATAACTTTCGTCAAAATTGACAAAATGATCTGAAATTCAGACCATTTGATAGCCCTGTACAAGACAAATGCAATGATATGTGCACCTTCCAGTGTCCTTCAATTTTTTCCCCAAGGAGCTTGAGGTTTGAGTCTCAATAACCTAAGGTGTTACCTGCGGATACGGCTACGTCGTAAACCCTCCAGTCCAATCCTGAACTTCAAACAGGGTGCCCAAAGCCGTGAATACCGGAGCGGAGCGGATACCTTAGAGAATCCCAAAACGAAATCCGGTAGTAAGAACACGCACCGAGAAACGTTTGAAGGTCCGAGCGCGATTGGGGTACGGGCACCTTCTGATCGCTTCCATCTTGGCTGGACTCATGTACAACCCATCACAATCTATTACGTGGCCGAGGAACTCCACTTTCCTTTCCAGCAACACGCATTTCTTTGAGTTCAACCTGAGTCGTGCTTTCAACAGTTGCTCAAAAACCCGTTCCAAAATTTGGAAATGCCTCTGTACTGTTTCTGTGACTACCACCATGTTATCCAGGCAGCAGAAGACGTCATATCCCAGTAGAGGCTCGAGAACTGCATGCATGTGTTGAAATACCGCAGGTGAGGAGCCCGAAAGGTAGTATCCGGAAGTGGTACAGACCTTCCGTTGTGGCAAAGGCCGATTTCTCTTTTGCATCTTCAGACAGACTTATTTGCCAATAGCCTGCTGACAAGTCCAGGGCTGAAAAGTACCCTCTACACTTCAAACTCTGAGGAATTTTGTCAGTCGTTGGCAGTGAGTAACTATCTATTCCTGTCACCTGGTGAGCTTGCGATAGTCTACGCAGAGCCGGAGTGTTCCGTCCTTTTTCTGAACCAAAACGACGGGTGAGGCCCAACTCGATTTACTTGGTTCAATAATTTTCCGCTCATGCAACTCATTAAGAATGCGTCGGAGCTCCACGCGAGTAGCCAGTGGAATCGGGCAAGGTTTTTGTCGAATCGTGGTGCCTCACTAGTGTCGATGTTGTGCTCCACCAGCGTTGCCCGGGTAAGCTCTTGCTCGCTCACCGCAAATACTTGAGCGTAGCTCTTGACGAGGTTTTCAACTTCTGCGCTATTCTCCGTATCTGTCCTATTCTCGCGGAGCACGAATACGCGACAGGCTTGACTTCAAGGACTATTGCGGGTTCGAGGTTCCCTACCTTCTGCCCTAGTCGAAAGATCTTTGCTCCTGCAGGGGTGTTTGTTACCGGCACCTCAAATGCCTTCTCTCCACCTTCCCATACGACATTAGGAAGTAAGTGGTTCCTAGACCAGAAAATTCCTCCTTTGGTGAGGCTCTTGCCTAGAATCGGCACCGATCTAGACTGTGTACACCCTTTTTGCGGCAGTAACTGAGAACAGGGTGGTTTCCTCCTCCGACATCCTTACTTTCCGCGTTCAGTTACCGGAATGTCTTCGTCTACCGTGATCGGAGGTAGCACCACAGGCTCTGAACACTTTCGCTTAGTGAGATCATATCCAAATGGCCGCAGTGCATTGGTCCCAAGCAGCAACATGCCGTCTCCTCCATCCGTGACAAAGGCGGCGATCCGCTCCTTCTTACTGTCGCTCATCTGCAGCGTCAGTCTCATCGCTCCTTTGAAGGACACTCTGTTGCGCGAAGGGTCGAATACCTGCTTTTGTTGATCCAACGGAATCTTTCAACGTCGGCATCCAAGTCAAAGCCGGACTCCAATGCTGCCTGGTGTACTTGCGGTGGTATAATGCCGATTTGCGAGCCAGTGTCCAACAACGCTTTGCGTGAAGTGCCTAGAAGATGAACTTCCGTGGTCGTTTGTTCACCGACCAATTCGCACTTGTTGTCGACCTCTACTGCTCCACATATCCATTTCCTCAAAGACGCGGTAAAAATTCTCGGCGGCTCTGCTTGCTGATCCCTGACTTAAAAACCTATTAGTAACAGTAGTTCTTCTTCGGCATCGTGCAGTCCCTTCTCAGATGTTCTTGCTTGTTACAGTTGGAACACTTTCCGAGGGGTCTCCGCTGAGTCGTTGCATCGCGAATATCGAGCTTACTGCTTCCACATTCCAGTGTGTTCACAGTGTTTTGGACTTGCCGAGCATCGTGACATCGTGACATCACCTTTACGTATCCTGCCATCTTGGCCCTTTCGAGCGTGACCTTCCATGGCATTACGCATTGCAACCGCTACTTGCTTACTCCTTTCACATCTTTGTGCCATGGCTTTCACCATGTCATATGCCTGCTCCTTTAGAGCTATCTCCATTGTCGTAAACAGTTGAGGTAATCTGGCCAGTCGGTCAGCTGGCTCACCAGTTCTCCTGCCCTTGTACGGGACAGTTCTTCTTCCGATGCATCTGGATAGGCTTCTCTTGACAGCCTTTCCAGTTCCAGGCAGAATTCTGTTACGCCTCCATGTTTCCTGAGGTGTCTCAGATCCAAATGCGCCTTCATCTGCATCGCCGAATTGTCCACAGCAAGCAGTCGCAGGGATTCACAAGATTTTCAAAGTTTCCCTCTCTTACGAGCTTTGGTAGGGATTTCGCTACTGCTTTTGAGTAAACTTGCAGTTTAAAGAGCAATAGTTGGGTGAGTATGTCATTCCGTAACCCAAGGCTCTGGTATTTCATCGTGATCATCATGATGAACTCTTCAAACCTTTTTACTTGAAGGTTATTATACACCTCCACTCCGAGTAGGGCCATAGCCGCAAATATGGACCCCATAGCGTTGTCGAGGTGGAAGGACTCACCTCAGCTTCGGCACGGGATCGACGACGGTTGGCTCGGCTATCTGGTCCTCGGCATCCACTCGGTCGCCCTTCCTTGGTGCAAGTGGGTACTCCAGTTTTTTTGCTGAGACTTGCAGGCCTTCTGCCTAACGGAAGCGTCTTAGCTTGCGCCGTCGACGCTGGTTCGAAATCCAGATGGTATCGTTGTCGAAATCATCGATATCCAGCTGTTCGCACACTATCGGCGACGTACTTGTGTTGCATTATGCTCCAGCAGACCGACGAGGCTCCTGTAAGAAAAGAGCATTAGATTGCGTCACGGTACCAACCTTTTCAGGCTTATCTAGTTTTCCCGGTGGAAGTGCTACGTGTGTTTCCCACGCCTTAGTGCTCAAAACCACCGAGAGTGTTTCAGACACCACGGACCTCTTCCTACTTCCAGCTCCATGAGGTTCCCCAGCTCTCGCCCCATGAGAATACACTCCTCATTTATCTTTGAGCTTACTGCATCCTCGAGCTGTTTAGTCGACCTCGTTGAAACTCCTTGCACTAATTTAGCCAGAATCTCACGCAGACTTTTCAGTGTCTTCGCGATAGCCTCTATTGAAATGCACACCTGTGTGCCTCTAGCCGTTAGGCTATCAGCCTTTTTCAAAGAATATCCAGCGACTTTCTCATTGCCGACAGCTGCTCTGCTGTGGGCACGTCGCTCAGGAGCATCTGCTCCAATTCAGCTGGACTGAGTCTTGCTTCTTCTGCCATCGTACTATCTGCAATAGTTGGTGTTCACTCTCTGTATCGAGCGTGTGATCAGCGTCTCCATCGCTTCAAACAGAACCGCGAATCCTTCCGCTTACAGTCAGTGCGCACTCCCCGTAACAGACCTCGACACGGATTACACGTGACGGGTCTCTGTTCACAGTCAGGGGTACACTGCCTATTAGCGGCAGGACTCGCGCCATAGCCGGTCTGAGCGGCCTAGCAGGCGGACACCCGAATCGAAATCGATTCGGTTTGGTTCGGCCCCCAAGTCACGGGTGCTGCTCCGGGTTTAGCGCAGCCCCGCGGGTTGAAGGCGAACTGACAATAGATTGATGCAAGTGTTTATTCAAACAGTAGTGTCCGAAGACACTACGTTCTAGCTCACGCTAGGGTTAGACTGACTCTTTTTTGCAATGGCCGGCCCTTATATACGGGGCTCGAAGGGGCGGAACCGGAATGCTGACTATTGGTCCGTTAAAGTGATGACGTCACACTCGGCGGGAAACTAGGCGTCGATTTGCAGAGCGTCCGAGTCGCATACAGGGCACATCGTTGGTTGGGGAATCCGCGACAGGGGGGTCGTATTTGGCCGCCAGGAGAGGGGGGGGTCGTAGTGAGTGCGGCACCAGTAACGAGCAGCGCAAATTGTCAATGTGCTGAGTCCTGTACAACGAAACTTGCTTTGTAGAGAACTCGGGTATGCAAAAAAATAGTACAAAACTTTCATTCATCAAACTAATCCGAAATAACTGCAAAATATTTAATAAGTCGACATTATCTCGTAAGTCCGTTGGTGACTGAACAGTACAATTCATACGGATGATGGGGTTGCGGATGATGGGGCGTGTCCGCGATTATGATTGGCGCTGAGCCAACCTCTATTTTTCAACCAACGACAGGACTACCATATCGTTCGTACCAGACGTTTTCCAGCAGTTGGTCTCCTTTATCGGAGACAGCAATTGGCGGAGCACACATCTGGCGGCGTCGACACAGACACGCTCCATCATCCGCAAGGGAAAACACTGTAAACAAGTGGACAGGCTCGCCATGAACCTCCCTGAACCCTATAGACACATTTGCTCGCGTGGACAGACATTACGCACAAGTTGCACCATCCCATCACCTCTGCGCGGACCTCAGTGCGCGGCGCATGCAGAGTCAGCGTGATCGGCGCTAAACGAACCATATCCTGCTCCTGCTCCATCACAGGATACGTTCTACATGCGTTCCTGGCTATTCGAACACGCTCACTTGAAACGGTACACAGGAAACGGGTTTTTCGCGCAGCTGGGAGTGTTCCTCGAGAAATCCCCATGGCGAGATCTCATGAATCCCGAGAGCTTCAGAAACAGTTCAAGGAGTTTTTAGAAAGAGGAAGTCTTCAAACATTCGAAACCATTCTCAGATTTTTGAAATGTTGAGTTACAAAAAAATATATTGATTCAAACCTGTTCGGTTGAAACCACTCCCTAACGAACCCCTATGGCAGATTTCTCTGTGATTTTTGCGACGTTTATAAACGTTTTAGTACTTTTAAGAAGTGCAAACCTTCCTCTACACGATTACGGTCTCTTCTTCCCCACAGGTCCGCTTTTGAGGAAGTTATGGTCCTTCAAAGACACCTACCTCAGCTGGAAATTCTCGCTCCATGGCTAAAATTGCCGAATAATCTCCAGTCACAGCCGCAATTACATGCGCTTCTGCTACCGTACTCCACATAATCGGGGTAATGCAATTTTACGGCGGTTTGTACAACTGTTACGTAGTGAGACAAGCCTAACTTTCTCTTTTTCTTTTTTCTCGTCCTCAATCTTGGGAATAGACGTTGTTAACACTGTGGCCGCTGATGGCCGCTCCCAGAGAGGGAGTCCACCTCAGGTTAACGAATGCTCATTGAATTCAATCATCGTTATTATTAGCCATGTGTGTTTCAAAACGGCCATCGAAGAAGTTCATCATACGAGTTTCTCATAATACGATTGTACCGTTTTTTGTTTGCAATCATCTCTGTATTGTTCTATTATGTCATGACTTCAAGTCGTCCATTTAGTATGGGCACCTTCATAAAGTAGAATTTCATAGTGGGCGTTTCACAGTTTCATTTAAGGCGAAAAAAACCTAACGGCAAAAAAAGGGGGGGGGTCGTACCGAACCCCCAAAAAAGGGGGGGTCGTACAGGCGCGACCAAAATCCCCATCGAATGCTGTTGCCCTGGTCGCATATCGATTGATTTGGGTGACATCCCTAGGAACTGAGAGTGATAAGGAACGAAGATAAAGTCACAACAAGAGCAAAAAGACTACAATATTATGACAGTTCTAAATTTTGCAGGCTTAACTTATGTGGGTTAAATTTGTTTGAATTTTTAGTTGCTTCATGTTGGTTCATGTGGCTGTGGTGCGTGCATAAATATCCTACTATATATAATCCGCTAAGTTTGTCTTTTGTTGGGGTGTGTGTGTGTGTGTGTGTGTGTGTGTGTGTGTGCTGTTATGGTGTGAATGTTCGTGTGTCTGTCTATATGTGTGTTTGACCGGAAATTCATAACTCTCTTCAAAACAGCGATAAAGCGCTCAAATTGATAAGTGATGCAGGGGGTCGGGCAAGAACTTATTGGTGGGTGGCAGGAAGTGATAACAGTTGATAAGATACCATAAGGGATCTCAGAAAGGGAGGAGCATGAACTTCATAACAGGCGTCACAGCAAGGCTAGAGCGTTGGTTCCAAGAAGTAAGATAGGGAGCAGGATGGAAACATTATTGGTGGGTGGCAGGAAGTGATAACAGTTGATAAGATACCATAAGGGGTCTTAGAAAGCGAGGGTCACCAACTCCGTAACATGTGTTACAGCGACGACAGGACGTTGGCTCCAAGATGTAAGACAGGGGGAAGGATGGGAACATTATTGGCGGGAATTGATAACAGCTGATAAGATAGCCAAGAAAATTCACACCAGAGTTGTAGCAACACTGGGAACTGCTCCAGCAAGTAATTCAGAGGTGCTTAGGGAACATTAAAGGTGGAAGATAAATTCTGACAGTGTCCTACAAGGGCTTCTGGGAGTCCGTATCTGCTCACACCACCGTAACCAAGGAT